TCACTCCAAATTAAGTTCACCAAAGTTTATCCAGGTCGTAACATATATACACATACAGATATATCTGCAAGGGTAGTGTGAATTTTTATAACACTAATTGGATAATCAGGGAACCTGAATTGCCCTGTGCAGACTGCCAATGGTTCTAAAGAGTTGGCCTCACAGGAAGACAAGTTTTGTCACTGCCAGTACAGCTGCTATGAGTGCTGTTACACTATCAAAATAATGAGTAAATATAATAATACAAAGCACCATGCTAATACTGCTGGTGATAGGGGTAAAAGGTCATTACTCTTAAATAAATGGCTGTATTGTTTAGGTTTTATTTCCTATACCTTTAATACATTGAAATGCCTGTAGGAAAACTGAGTTTGTACACAGCTAATCCCTAACACCTCTTCTTGACCCCTCATGGAAACCGGTTTTAAAGTACGATTAGGATAACATGTGGATTCTTAAGAATATACTTATCATACCACATTATATTTTAAATAAAAATGTACTACAGAATTATCAGAGTCTGTTCCCCCAAAGCAAACAGCACTCCCACCTACACAGCAGCAGCTCTAGCAACACAAGTCAGGGGTCAGGAATGCTGAAATCAGCATTACAGAAATAAAAGCATGGGTGACCAGGGCCTGCCCAAGGAATTTTAGAAACAGAAGATAAAAGGAGCATTTCCTTCACCACAGTACTCTCCCACAGCAATACCCTGAATATAATAAACAAGCTGGGGAGTGGGAGAAGGTAACAGAATGAGAGATTTGGAAGTTTTTCATCTATCACGAGAATAGGTAAAGTAACTATGGGCTGAAAGAAAGACAGCTGCCTAGCAACACAACACCCACCGTTAAGTTTGGCGTTTCCAGTATCCAAAGGAATCAAGGTTCGTAACCAAATGCAAAACTGAAATGTATGCCTAGAAAACAGTTACACTTCTCAGCAGTACAAATCACCGTAACAGAGGAAAAAATGAGGCCACGAAATCTGGTTAAGCCAGGCTGGAACACTAGACGACAGCAGAGGAGCAAATGGAAGCTCCAGCAGGTCAAAGACCTGGCTAGTATTAAAAGGTGGGTTTATAGATAGCTTCTGCAGTCGTGTGTGGTCATGCTAGACAGCATATTACAGAATCCCATGATGTTAGAAAAGAAAGGGCAATGAAGACTCAAAGACAGGATTGCAAACGATGCAAGAACAAGAACAGCTAATTTATGGGAGAGGAAGAGCAGATGGCAGGTAAAGAGAAAAGTACTTCCAGAATTTTTACCAATTATTTTTTTAAAAGACAGTTCTTAGGAGTAATGGCATCAAAAACCATTTCTCAATCAACTCTCTTCTGAAAAACTCCCAAACAACACACCAAAAATAAAAGGATGATAGTACAGCGCTTAATAATTTCAGAAACTTGGAGTCAGTTTTATCCTCTGTTCTACAGAATACTAGCCACATAAGACATCTTTTAAACTTTTCCCCCAGCATAGAGATCCAGAATCCTCTGTAGCCATTAAAAATATTGACTTGCAATTCACCGTTTTTACTAATGTGTGAAACTATCCCTAAGTTATAAAAACGGGTTACAGAATTACATACACATCATCCATACGCTAAACTCTAGGCTGGAATCAATTTCCTAGTGGGACAGGGAAATCCTTCGGATCCAACGTCTACAGGAAAACTACCGGGTCACCTGCGCAGTCCGCGTTCCTCCAAGATACTCTCCGACTACCCAGACGCACCGGACTGGCCTGGAGGGCAGCTGCCAGAACCCATGACAGAGTCGGCGACTCGGAGATCAGCACCCGTTGGAAGGGGCGGAGCACTCCTCGTCGCGCTTGCGGAGGGTCGGAAAGCAAAGGATGTGTTGTCGACTAGACGCCGGGGCAGCTGAGGCGGCGGAAGAGGCGGGCCCGGCTGCCCTGCGTAGAGCAGCCAGTGGCAGCAGCGCGGCCAGGCTCAGCGGCCCTCGGCTTTCTCGTCCACTCCCTCGCCCGCCCGCAGGTTTACAGGGAGGCGCAGCCCTGCGAGCGAAGCCGCCGTAGGCACTAGCAACGCACCGCTGCCGCCACATCCCCGCCGCTTCGCGACACCGCGTACCAATCGCTCGCCGGCCCTCGCGTCACCCTCCAATCAGCGGGGGGCAGAGGCGGGGCATGGCCGCAGACGCCGCCGGTTGCTCGGAAGATGCAGCGCCCTTTGCATTCGGCGGTGGTTGTTGGTTACGAGAGGCTCGGATGTTAACCCTTTATTACTAAGAGGACAGCTGACTAGGGCAGGGCTGGTAGGGCTGGAGACAAGCCGCACAGCCCGCTGGGAAACTGTGCGGGACTGGCTTCGGCCGACAGAGTGTGGCCAGCGCCTTCCCTACACCATTCTAGGTTGTCCTTAAGAGGTGCCATGTGGTGTGGAAAGGAGGGTCCCCGGCAGACGATGTCCAGTCGATCAGCCGATTGCCTTTCCAAAGCCTGTGCACTCCCAGTGCATCCCTGGCCGTCCCACCTTTAACAAACCCCGTTTCCAGAGCTTCATTGTTCCCTAACGTTTCAGGCCTCAGTTGCCTCATCTGAAATCGGGGGCCACTGCTAATGCCTGGATGAAAACAAGGGTGAAAGCAAACAACCCTCTGAAGCCTTACCCATTTACTCCTCACCAAATTTACTAGGACCTGTAGGCCAGGGTATTCGAGTGGACACCCTGAGCTGTTAAATCCCAGCTTTGAGTAAGCCCAGCCACCCGGCTTCCCGTTTCCCCCTCCCCCCCACCACGCCCCGCATTAATTCCCAAGCTACTGAGCTCAGTGTACACCATTAACAAGACAACACAAACCTCCCAACCTGAAAACAGTCCCCCACGCCTTTCTCTGTTTCTCACAAGTGTTCTAAATGCAACCCTTAAAGATTATCCAACCAAACCGGCCTGTTTCACTAGGTGGATTACTCAGCTGACAATGAACATAATCTTCCTCCCACTGCAGTTTAACTCATCTTCATCTTGTGGCCCAGAGTAACGAATCTAAAATGAACCCCAGCACCCAATCTCTGCCCTTTCTCCTTCTAAGACCCCATCCCCCAATTTATCTCCACAATTCAACGAACTATTGAGCATACACGAAGGTTTATGATGAGGCATAGGGTTTTCATTCGTCTTTAGGCTCTCTTCCACTGTTCCTTCTTAAACTCCAACATTGAATAGACTGCAGCCCCTTGAAGACGGATATGATTATCTTTTCATACTAGACTCTAAAAGTGCCTGTGATGAACTGGATCTTACTTAATCAAAAATTTTCTCAACCTACCTCCCCACTTGTCAGGGATGACTGAGAGCATGGGGGCTTTGGAGTCTGGTAGATGAATTTAAAGCCTTGGGTTCCAACACTGGATGCTCTGTTACTTTGGCCAAATTATTCTTTCTCATTATCATCATCTACCATTTTTCAAGTATTTGATAGTTAACAAGGGACTTTGCATATTCTCTCCCATCACATTCTTGCAAGGTTGGTACTGAAACCCCTCCTGGACACGGAAGGAAACAGACACTAAGAGAGGTAAAACAATTTGCGTATTCTCAATAAACTCAAGCGGGAGAAACAGATTTAAATCTAGGTCTCAATAAAAAAATCCAAACTTCTTCCACTATTCTGCACTGCTTCCAGATTTTTGCCTTATCTATAAATTGAGGCCATTACCTATCTGGTAGAGTTATACAGACCAAATAAACGGCAAAGTGCCTACAATAGGACCATTTAGTTCCCTCCTACTTCCAAACCTCTCAAAATAGCAATTGGCATATTTTCTGACTCAATTGTCTCTTAAATTCCCTGGAATCAATCTTAATGGTGGACCATTAGATTCTATCACTCCAAAAAATAAGCAACATGTTTAACAAGTGCTTCTGAGTCAGCCCCACAGTAGGCCCAGACTTGAAGCAGAAAACTATATACACAAGTAACCTAGCAGACAGAAGGTAGGTGGACAAAAGGGACAGGGAAAAGGAGTAGGCAACTAGTAAGCACCCACCTCTGCCATCAAGTCGCTCTCCTAGCACACAGTAGGGCAAACAGCTGATCTGTGAGAGCTGTACAAATTCTTTTGACTCTTGAGCATGAACAACTCCCAGTTCAATCTTAAAAGTGCCCAAAGTCGGCGGTTTTAGGACTGGTGAAACCAACTGGGCCTGCCTACAAAGTTTGTGCCATGGTATAGATTGAATACTCAGCACGAAGATGGCACAGCATAGGAAACACAGACTGGAGAGGGTGGGGGGGAGCAGTCATCCACAGGCTAGTGGCTACCACACTGGACAGAACAGTTACAGAACACTCCCATCAATGTAGAGTTCTATGGAACAGTGCTGCTCCAGGAGCTGACATTTCCACCCTCAGCACTTCTCCCCCCCTACCATTACATGGGTTCACTCTGCTTCTTTCACAAAATAATGCAAAGCTCCAAGGAATGGCAATGGATGCCTTAGAGCAAGGGTCAGCATAGTGTTTCTGTAAAGGGCCAGGGAGAAAATGTATCTTAGGCTTTGTGGGCTATCCACTGTCACAACTATTTAACCTCTAGTATTGCAGGTAGGGTGAAAACAGCCATAAATAATATGTAAATGAATGGATATAATGTGTTCCAATAAAACTTTATTTACAAAAAAAGACAGTAGAAAGCCATAATTTACCAGACCTGGCATCAGTGAAACTGTACAGGCATCTTCAGAATACAGTGGAATCAGAGGAAATCCCCCTCTCCTATTTGCAAAGAATCGTGAAGTATATAACCTTACATCCTCTTCCTTTATTACTTGTCCAGGCTCTGACTAAGCTCGGGCTCCCATCCAGGTTAGAAAGACTCCTGGCCATTTGTATGGCATCTTCTACCTCTAGGATTCCCTGCCCACCCATGAAAGGCACAAATATATTTATTCTTCAACATGCCCTAAATCATACTGTGATCCTCCCAAGACTAATTAAAATATAGTTTAAAGGGGAGAAAACAACAAAAAAATCACAACAACATCGTGAAATATTTATTTTTGTTTTGCAGTATTAGGCCATGATTAAAACCACTGCAGAAAAATACAAAGTACATTGGATAAGAGGTAAGCTAGCTGTTTCAGTATTTGCTTATATAATTCAGTTAAGACAATGGGCAACTAAGATAGCATCATTAACTCAAAGATGTAGCTGAAGGGTTAGATATGATATCCTGTTCATTCTACTGGCCTCCAAAAGCGTTCAAGGGATCATCAAATATGTTTGACACCTTCTGTTCAGATTTTAGTTCAGGCACTGCCTGTGAGGATCGACTTTTCGGTTTGGTTGTCTTAGCCTGGACACCAGAGGAGAATATGTCATCTTTAAAAAGAAAAAGAGATGTGAATAGGCAAGAAAATGAGTGCTTTTAAGGTGCATCTACACAAACCACCAACGACTCAAGTCTGGTAACAGTATGGGACACCGAAAAACACTATGATAGATCCAAGCCTCCTAGATTTTGGTCCTGGCTCTGCAACTAATTAAGTTTTATGATCACATACCAGTCACAGGTTCTTTCTGAGCACAATTTTCTCAGCTACAAAGGTATATATGTACATATGCAAGAGAGGGAAAGGGAAAAGAAAACAATCTCCAATCCACTCCAACTTTATGATATGTAACATTGTACTTCATTCTACATTCTTTTCCCATTGGATTTTAAGAGCAATAAAAGTAAGCAAAGGGAAATTCAAAATAGGAGTTGCCCTCTTTTAGAATAAATGCATCAGTCTGAGGTATATCAACGCAAGTGGTATGAATGTAAGCCTTGATGACTCCATTCCTGTTTAGTGTTCCACTGACTCCAGTGTTTCATGGTTCATCTTAGTAATGTTCCTAACCCAGTAATGTTACTGCTAGGATTCTATCCTAGATATCAGCATGTTTAAGTAAAGATATATACACACAGATGTTAAGGACCACAGCATTATCTGTAATAGAGAACACTCGGAAATAATCTTATTTTGGAAAAAATAAATATATATTATATGTATACAAATGTATGTTAGTATCACAGTGCCTGAAAGGATACATACCAAACTTGAAATAATGGTTACCACTCGGGGTTTTCACTTTTACATTTCTCAAATAGTATTAATCTATTAAAACAGGCATGGATTACGTTTTTTATAATTAAAAAAATGAAGTTTCTTCTGCAACCCAGGTGATGGGAAGTACATGGAGACAAAGCACAAAGTTCGCGTGGGAACAGACCCAGTGTGGCCCTGCAACACCAGCTTTCTCCCAGTTGACCCCCAGATCAACCCCTGGAGGAGGAAGGGGAGAAGTAGTAAATGAGTATTTGGCCCCAGCTCAAGCCCTGTCTACTGACTAAGGACATACCAGAAGCTGTACATTTAGGTTTACAGGACATTTGGCTTGGCCCTTAGTAAAGTAGTTACACCATGGAGAGAAAGTAAGTATGTTTACACACAGAGATCTTTGGTGAGATGCAATGTATGAGTTATAACCTGCTTTCCTATATAGTCCTGCTCTCCTGCACTGCTCCTCCATTCTCTAAACCACTGATGCTCACTCTCCTGTTAGGACTCTGACTCAATCAAATACCTCACACCCGAGACAGCCACCTCAATCTACTTTAGCCTGCGGGGTAGTTTCTGGTCTCCTTTCATAATCAGAGTGTTCAGGTTTGTCACAGGTAATTGGCAGTGGGTGTACTAAGATACAAACTAAGTTATACTTAAAAGATCAAATTCTGCCCCTTCAAATTCCTTAATGTCCATCATACCCAAGTTTTTTCACCAAAATGACTAATCCATTCACTTGTCCATCCTCAGCCTAACTCAGGGTTAGATAGCATGCCAAAGGAAACCCACTGGGGAGCACTGTCCAGGCAAGGGCCAAGACAAAGGTAGCAGGAGAAATAATCAAGTCACTGAATGAATGACTTTCTATGTCATATGAAGACAACCAAACTTACCCATATCATCAGCAAATATAGACTTGGCTTCCACTTTCTTTTTGGACTTTTCTTTTGGTTTTATAGTTAAGTCAGCAAAGATGTCAATATTATCATCAAACAAGTTAGATTCAAATGTTCTTTCCTTCTCTCTTGTCTTTTGTGAGGGTTTAATTGCTTCTGTAGCAAATATATCATCCTTGTAAAGCCAAAAAATGAAACAATTTTAAATTTAAAAAAAATTTGATTTAACTGCCCCCTCAGCCTGGAATGCACTATTTCAGGATCTCTGCCAGCCCTGGTCCTTCTCAGGCCTGTCTCAGCTCAAACGCCAGCTCTGCGGAACGGCCTTCTCTACCACTCCACATGCAGGAGCTCCTCCCATCCCTATTGGTCATTCTTGTCCCAAGGCCTTGGATTGTTTTCTTTATGACACTTAACTTTGTCTGAAAACTTCTTATTTATCTGTGGCCCTGCCTGTAGCCCCCGCTCCTCCCTAAGAACTCTGAGGAGCACAGTGCCGGTTCTCGTTCTCCCTGTGCCCGTTTCTGGATGCTCAGTGAACCCCCGCCAGAGAGTACCTGACCACTGAAGGCCTTACCGCTGCACTAAATTGTCAGCCCCAGCCAGGGCCTGTTTTCCCACAAACCTGAGGTTCAACTCTCAAGCTGTACCAATAGTGGTTGATATATGTCAGAGTGGCATGCCAAGGAAGCTGCACTGACATTCTGGTAAAAATGACAAAAACCAAGACCTGTACCAGTGGTTATGGCTAACCAGGAACTACCCCCTACATGAAACAAAATACTACTTCTAGGTAAGTTTCAGAGTTATTAATAAGAAAACCTTATTGTAGTTACAAACCAAATAGTGATCAGACAGCAATGAAACAAGCTTAATGCAATCTTAATTATGCAAATGTAATGTACATTAATGTCATCAAATAAGCCAATCAGGTATTTTTCCCTTAACATAGAACCAAGCACAAAACATATTTTTATGTCTTATTACCTCAAAAATATCTTGTGATTTTGAGATGACATCCTGCTGATGGTTGGATTTTGACTCATTTTTCTTACCCTTCTGGTCTATAAAGAGATCATCCTCATCTTCCAGGAGAGGGAAGGGATTTGTTTTCTTTGCTGGTTTTGGTGTAACAGACTGAAAGAGATCATCATCACTGCCTGCCTCACCTAGAGCAGGAAACACGGAGCTCTTTTCTTTACTTCCTCCTGGAAGTGTAGATAGGCTCTCTGCTGCCTTCACCAAGACTGTTTTTCTCCCAGTGGACTGAGAACCAGGGCCCTTGGAAAAAATGTCTTCAGAATCAAAAATATCATCCTTACAAGGCTGACCCAATGATTTTGCAAAGGAGTTTCCATCCATTCCAAGCACGGGAACACCTGCCCAAGGTGGAGTAGCAGTTGCCACAGCTTCCTCAGAGTCTTTTCCACCAGCTGTTCTGGGCTGTGGCTGACAGCCTTCTGGTGAAATGGTGCCATCTGCCAATTGTGCAACAGATCTTCTGGGGACACTCACGTCCTCAGCCTCACTGGACTCCTGGGCAGCCAACCGCCGAGCCGTGCGGGTCTGTGGTCTGCGCTTCCCTCTGACTTTGACTCGGCTCTGCAATGGCAAAAACCAAATGTTGATCTGATGATTTAAAAAAAAAGTTTTCAAAGCAAATATAGCAAATAATTAGCAATTCAAAATATGATATCTGGTCCACTTTAATCAAGATACTAAGACACAGAAGAGGTTATTTCTTAAAAGATTTCCAAAGGAATTTAATCGCTTCTAGGACTCGAAAGCTAAGTCGTTCTTGATCCTTTCGTGTTATCCATTTTTTCAGTCTCCTGAGGGGAAATTTCTGTTCAATTTCATACAAAAGGCTTCATCTACTGCGGGAGCCCTGCAAAGCAGGCATGTTGGTACTGTGTCCGACAACCCTCCCTGGAGCCCTACTCTGCCCTTCGATTTAAATGTGAGTATCTTTCAAAACAAGAAAGAATCAGAGGGAATGCTGATACTAATCTTTACTAAAGGGTCTAGCCTAAACTCAGGCTCCAGGAGCAGGGAGATATAAGAGAATAAAGGAAGAGAGGTGATCTAAGGTGCTATGCTCTTTCTTTCAAGTCAACAAACCCTAATTAAAATGTTAAATATTTCACATAAAAATTGTGGCTTAGAAATCATAACTTTTAATATAACCTTAAAATACAGTCACTTTTTAGCCATTAAACACAATGTCTGTGATAATTTCCAGAATACACAATCAAGTAATTCTGAGAAGGTAAAAAGTACTCTGGGCAAAGTACTTGACTGTATTTGCCTATTTCAAGGAAATTTCACAAATAATTTTAAGAAGCAGCCAACTTAAATTTAACCAAAATAAATAAATAAGTTAACAAAGAATATATGTAACAAAAGGAAGGCTCTTTTATTTTTCATGGAAAACAGGTTTGGAAACCTGAAATGAATGTATTTTCCAGGGTCATCCTAGGTGCTGCTGCTTGCTCAGAGATCAGCTGAAACTTCCTAGAGAAGGAAGACTGGGTAAATAAAAGAGAACCAACTAAAAGGAAAGCAAAACCTCAAAGAGCTCACAGTCCACCTGGCACAAGACCACAGCCTCTGAAACAGTGTGATGGACTGCCTGAACCAGGCAAAGATTGCCATGGGATCTCAGAGGACAGAACCCAGGACAAGGAGGCAGAAGAGACAGTTAAGTGTGAGCAGAGCTGTCCGTGAGGAGGAGTGTTCCTGACAGGGGAAGCAGCCAGGCTGGTGGCAGCAGCAGGCAGGGAAATGTGAGTGCAGGGAATGGTGCCTGATATGACTGGAGTTTAGCCTCGCCGTATGGGGCGACTGGTGGGAAAGTTGGATGCTTTGGTTAGCATGGATTATAAAAGGCTTTAATATCAAACTGAGGAGCTCAAACTCAAATGGGCAGTGAGAGACCATCAGAGAGGGACATGATCTGCTCTGTGTTTAGAAGCCTTTCAAGTGGCAGTGCAGGAGAGCCTGGAGGTAGTGGGACTTCAGTGTGGCTACTGATCAGGATGTAAATCAAACAAATGAGAAAGTAGACAGAGAGTTAGGGAGGTGGAAGGAGGACAGAAAAGATGAAGGAAAGATCAGATGCCTCCTTCATATGGGGAGTTAAGGTCAGCCTAATGTGTGTAACTGATGGACTAGGAAGAAACATACAAGTTGTTCTGGTTAAAAAAAAGGGAAGCAAGCAAGCAGAGGTGGTTGCATCACCTTGTTTGCACTGTGTAGAGTGTCTGCCTGAGCTGGAAGATCAAAACTCACACCGGCCTCCCCACTTCCAGAAAGAGTGGGCATACTTCCCAAACTGTGGGTCCTCCCAGGTTCAGATGAAGGGAAAGCCAATTCTGGCAAAACAGGCCTTGTTCCAGAGATCTGGGGAGTCACTGCAGGCAGCAATGCTGCTGGATGAATCGTTAAATCTGCCTAAAGAAGAAAAATGACACTTTTTCTGTATGTTTTCTTAAACACAGCAATCTGTTCTTATTACTATGACACACAATGAGAGACTCAGTGTACATAACGTATAATACAAGAGGAGAAAGAGACATGCAGGATAGTTTCCTGATCTAGTCTTAGAACTAAAACAGAAGGCTACCTGTACCCACCACTTGGACCAAAGAAAGGACATTACAGACAGCACACAAGCAGNCTTGTATTTTCCAGATCTGAGGGGATGGCTCTTTGGTTTTAAATGGAACGGGATCTGGTGAGTCCTGTGTGAAATTACAGTCAGTTAAAAACCCACTGGGGATAGAAAATGTTCCTTGGATTAAATTTATGCCTGTAAATAAATGTGTGAATGAGGAAAGCTGTCACTTTCTGTAGTTCTCTAATGGGAAAGGCATTCAGATGTCTCCTGGGGCCTCACAACATTTCACTGACATCACTTCACTTATGTATGCCTCCTTATCCACTGGGCAAGTAGAAGGCTGTCAGACTTCACAGAATAAAGGGAGATGGAGACCATGAATAGGATTCCTAAGACTCTTAGGGTATCAGAGCACCAAAATCTGACCAGCTGGGGAAATTATCATGCTGGGAATCTCACATGGCAAATATTATAGAGCACACAGAAATTCACACACAGCCTAATGCACTGGTTCTAGAAGCCAAAGCAGCTGAGACTTAGGACAAATCACTGGGTATGTGCTTGTCCTAGAGCCTTGCTGTCAGAGCTCAGGACACTGAGGCCTCAGTGAGACATCCAGGGGCAGCAGCCAGCTGGACCCAGTACTCACTCTCCAGTTCTGGGCTGCCTTCAGGAAGCACTCCACAGAGAAGACTGCTAAGGATGGACGCCTATCAGCAATGATCTCAGGAGCGGTAACAGAAGGGGAACCAAGAAACGGGATGTAACTGATATTTAATTCTAGGTAAAACAAAGGGAGAGCCAGGGTTTCTGGTGGGAAGAAGGTTCTTCACCATACCTCAACTTTATCTTGGAATCAAATGGAAGTACTTCAAAAAATTATTAGTAAGCACAGATTCATAGGACTGGAGTGTGGAATGAGGAGGGGAGAGATGAGCAGGGTTGAAAAATACAGTCAAGGAAAAGAGGTCATCCTAGTCGCTGTTTCTCCCTTAATTAAGAGAACTCTGAATACCCTTGGGCCTGCATGATGGAGTTATTCTATACTGGGATGCAAACAATAGCCATAAGTCCTTAAAGAGATCGGTTCTAACCTGAGGTGTTTCCAGTTTCCATTCGCTTTTTTCTTTGATACCTTGAGTGGACTCAAGATGTTTCTCATTCTTAAAAGAGGAAATAGAGTGGTCTTTTTTCACTACCTTCTTCTTTTCAGGTATCTTTAAAGAAAAAGAATACCAAAAGTCTGTCAAGTATCTTAGAAATTTTAAAGGAAAGTCATATTGCAAAAAAAGGCCCTAGCTTCTGAGTTTTAAAAGTCACTTCTCAAATGAAGGTTTTGAACCAACCCAAAGGCGGCTTTTCAGAAATATCATTCTAAAGACTGACTTTCTTAGGAGCCCTCTCTATGATAAAAATAAAACAGAACTTATAAAATCTACTGGGCAGGGGGAAAAAGGTGACATACACAAGCTAACACTCAGATTTAAGGTTCTGCACCTGAAAGGCATGAATAGTTAGTCACCATACTGTATGCACTGGTCTTTCAATAAGCAACTTAAAAACCAAACAAAACACAGTAAGAGAACGTGGGTTAGTTAATGCTTTACTGTTAGGGAACTTAAGAAGGGGACAATACGAACAATACATTATCTGCCTTTCATTTACTTGTAAGCACCACAATTCCGTGTATTTTCCTTAACCGTGTAACTGGACATTAATTTCCTTTGCCAGAAATCTTTCCACTTCTCCCCCAGTATTGAGAATAAAAGGCTGGTACCAAAGGCTTCAACTTGGCAGAGCTGAACAGATCGTCATCTTCATCATCCCCAAAAAGGCTTCCAACACTTGGCTCTAAGAACTAGAGTATAAACTCAAATTCAACATCCAAACCAAAACAAATTACAAAGAACAAGGTGAGCAGCTGAGATAATTTCTAATACAATAGCAAAGCCACGATGTGGAGAACCATTTGTAACTGACCCTGGTTTTTTTGGTGCTGGAGAAAAGGTCAGCATTGGGGTCACTGTCCTGGAGCTTGTGACTGAAAAGGAGTTCTTCATCCTGAAAGACACCTGTGCTTTTGGGCCAGGCATCAGGATCGGAGCCCTGGGAGAAAGAGGGATGTTCTAAGGATTTACCTTATGAGGATCACACACAGATGTAAAGATGAAACAACAACGCAGCTTTGTTTATAATGGCTAAAGGTTGGACACAGCCTAAGTCCTAACCAGAAAGGAGTGACACACTAATATGATAGAATATTACAGAACTAACAAAAATAGGGGAGAACGTATTTATAAGTACAGTAACATAAACATAATCTGGAAAGATCATTGTTCAACTTTTGTGTAGCATCTCAATGTTTTATTTTAAAAACAATCCATTAGTTCCACAGTGAGAAACATTTTATGGGTAAAAACACACAAACTTAAACAAGTTCTCTCCATTTCATTCCCAAAGGGAAGAAAAGACTTAATACCAGAAACTACATGGTGGTCCAGCATGTATCCCCCTAACCTGTCAGCATCGAAGTCCAAAGAACTGCAGAGGTATGACTGGCCAACCTTCCCCTATGCCCATCCACCTCTTATCCCACTACCTTCAGATTCCAAACAAGTTCTATTGGTTTACTAAGACATCTGACATTTGAAAGTTACTGTTCACATTACTTGGTTTGACACTATAATGCCCCAGACTTTATATTCTAAAATTCTCCCTTTTTTCTTCTTTGCTATCACACCCTCAGATTAAAACAAAACTCACTTTAGACAAAATGTGTCACATTAAAAATTAACTAATAATTATTGTTGATTATAAATAAAAACAGTGTAACATAGCAACTACATTTGTAAGTTTCACAACTATGAAAATCATAGTACAAAATCATACACAGTAAGAGACTGGAAGAAAATAGAGCAAATTATTCATATTCACTCAATGTAGTCCTCATTTATAAACAGGGTTATACTATTTATGTAATAAAAAAATTCTTTAAACATTTCCTTATAGAAATCAACATGGACTATATCCTCAGCTTGATTTAGAAAAAGCACTGGTACCCTATGGCCTACCACCTGTTGTTGTTGTTTAGTATCTCAATTGGGTATTATTCACAGTCCAAAAAACTCTATTTAAAAGTGTATACTTTAATGATTTTTTAGTATATTCATAGCTGTGCAAATACCATCACAATCCAAGTTCAGAACATTCTCATCACCCCAGAAAGATCTCCCAAACCTATTTATTAGTAATGACTCTCCGTTCCTGTCTGCCCCTTTCCCTACACCCAGGCAACCACTGATCTATTTTCTATCTCTATAGATTTGTCTATCAGGACATTTTAAATAAATGGAATCATACCATATATGTCTTTCATCACTGGCTTCTTTGATTCAGCATGTGTTGTCAAGGTTCATCCATGTTATAAATAATTATTTTTAATGCCTAATAATATTGTATAGTAACACCACATCAGTTAATGAACATTTATTTAAACTGTTTCCACCTTTAGGCTATTTTGAATAATGCTGTTGGAAACATTAAAGTTTTTGTATGAATGTATATTTTCATTTCTTGCATACATACCTAGTAGTGGAATTACAAGGTCATGTGGTGACTCTTACGTTTAACAATATGAGGAACCACCAAACTGTCTTCCAAAGTGGCTGCAGCATCTTACATTCCCAAGAGCAATGAATGAGGAAGGTTCTAGTTTCTCCACATCCTCACTAACACTTGGCTAATATCAAAAAGTCTACAAGTGTTGATGAGGATGTTGAGAAACTGGAACCTTCAATTCTTCAGCAACTCACATGAGAGAACTAAAATCATGAAATGAGATTCTTTTATCCTTTCAAAACTTGAACTGTACTACTTTTTGCTCACCTTTCCTACTGTCTTTGGCACTTGGATGCTGCTCTGATCCTCTGTTTTATCCTCTTCCTCATCATATAAGCTAAGAACAGTTTTGGTTCTATTTTTGGTTGCTTTGTCCAATGGGGAAGATGAAGAAAGTAAATCAGAATGCTTGGCTGGAAGAGAGAGTCAAAGGTCCTTCCTGGAAATGGAAATAATAAGGAAAATATTAAGTATCACCTGGAAATACAAATTCTATTGTGGGGCCTCCCAAACTCCTCATTAATTCAGTAACTGCCACATTTTTGCATGTTTCGGGGCCCTACAGCTAATCACATCTGCTCCCAGGTAACAAAACCCTGAGCTAGTTCTTCATTGGCTGCTCCAATAAAGAGTCCTGCACAGATAATTCATAGACAAAAGTAATTTTTCCAAACAGTTTAAAGCCATGGGTCCCTCCTTCCTACCATTATATATATATACAAACACTGATACACACAGGTTGCTCAAGAACTGTAACTTCTAAGTCATAAAGACAACACAAATGCCAGTCATTGGGAGAGGATCATGTATTTCCTAGTATTTAACTAATACATAAGTCTCTAAGAGAAACCTAACTGACAAAATCAGACACTTAAATTTTGAAAGGCTTACACTGCATTATGCAATTATAAGAATCTCTAAAATAATCTAAGATGCAGCATTTATTCATTCCACAAGAAGTATATCACATTTCAGGCAAGATGCCACTGATTTAAGAACCCCTATTACTATATGAACCACTAAGGACAAAAAAAAACAACTCTCAATTACCATGCCACTGATCTCAAGAGGTGTATCCTACTTTCAGAGTGGTTAAACTGTAGGAAAAACAAGCTCCTTTGAAGAGATATAATTTTTCAAGTGCCTACTATCTGCAAAGTAATATGCTAAGTAGTACAGATACAATGGTGAACAAAACAAACCTGGCCCCCATCTTCACAGTGCTTATACTCAAGCAGAGAGATGGTAGCACAGGAGAGCACAAGTGTGGGCTGGGTTATGACTGGGGTAAGCCAGGGGCTTCTGGACACAGAAAAGGTCCTCATGAAAACTTGGGCAAGACAAGGTCACACAATAATAAAATACAGCATTTCTATCACTGTAGCCCCACAGAGCCTCAAACAGTAAAAGGATATGCAATGTTCTTCACAGGCCCTAGAAGAGAGATTAAACCTAAGTTGCTGAACACAAAGAATAAAAGGAAAGTTAGAAAATAAGAAAAGGTTTATAGAAACAGGAGGTGATCACTGTTCCCAGATGTAGCCAGAAGCCTTATCCACAGCCTTATGCCATCTCTTGCAGATGACAGATCACCATGGAAAAGAAAGCTAATGTTTCAGAGGAAAGAGAAATATCACTTTACTTTGTAATTCACAATATAAAAAAGAGCTAAACTGATTACAAATCAGGGGGATCTCAAGATGGTGGCGTGAGTAGGGTGGCAGAAATCTCTTCCCAAAACCATATATATTTTGAAAATACAGCAAATACAACTATTCCTAAAAGAGAGACCAGAAGATACAGTACAACAGCCAAACTACATCTACATCTGTGAGAACTCAGCATCTCACAAAAAGGGTAAGATACAAAGCTGTGACATGGTGGGACTTGAGCACTCCCTCCACCCAAACTCAACGGTGGGAGGAAAAGAATCAGAGGAGGGAGAGAGTTGAAGCACAGGACTGCTAAATAACCAGCCCTTGTAATCTGCACCAGGAGCACAGACACACAGCACAAGGTATACTAGATATTAGAGAAATGGAAAAGTAAAATCTGAGATGGAGACTGCAAGTGGGTCCCCACAGCTGGCTCCCTGGGGACAAAAGAAAAGCCAGCTTTAAATGTCTTGAAGGGACAAGAGTTTAACAGGTGGACAAAATCGTCCCAGCAGGCTAGAAACTTAAGGAACTTCAGGTGCCCTAAACCCCTAGGGGATAATGCAGCTCTGAAGCCCCTCAAGGCTATAAGCAGCCTGCCATTCATTCTCCCCCACCAGCACTAGAAGCAAGCCAGATGACCTGCCACGGCTGTGGACCAGCCAGGAAGCAGCCCCACCCACAACAACCACACAGAGTCTTCTCCCGAAGCGCAGCTAACCGGTCCAGACCCAGAGGCTGCCGCCAACAAGCAGCTGCCAGGCACAGGTAGAGGAAGCTGGAAGTTCCAGAAAGCACGAAGGGGTGCCCTTCTCGCAAGAGAACAAACCTGGTGTGTCTGTGACACCCCGCAGTGCCCTAGGCTATCCCAAGGGCCACCCCGCCCACAGCAGCACAGGGGATTAACCCAGAGACTGCTACCTGTGTGCAGGTAACCAGCACAGGTAGCAGAGAAGAGCAAGGTGACCAGCAAGCAGGAAAGGACTTTGTTCTCCTAGCTGACACATGCGCCACTGGCCGGCGAACACTTCTATTGCCATGAAAAGGCAGAAGAACCTGGTCCAGTCCAAAATCACTCAAACAACACCAGAAAGAGGGCCTGGCATGATAAATATAAACAATCTTCCTGAAAAAGAATTCAAAATACAAGTCATAACCATGCAGATAGAGCTACAGAGAATTATGCAAGATGTACGGGATAAAGTACGGAGGGAGAAAACAGAAATGAAACAATGACCAGAAGGACTTAAGAGCAGACTGGATGAGGTGCAAGAGACTGTTAATGGAATAACAACCAGAGAACAGTAATACAGAGGAGCTGAGGCAGAGAGAGATAGAAGGATCCCTAGGAATGAGAATAATAAGAGAACTGTGTGACCAATCCAAATGGAACAATATTCGCATAATAGGGGTACCAGAAGAAGGAGAGAGAGAAAAAGGGATAGAAAGTGTCTTTGAAGAAATGGTTGCTGACAGCTTCCCCAAACTGGGGAAGGAAATAGTCTCTCAGACCATGGAAGCCCACAGATGCCCCAACAGAAGGGACCCAAGGAGAACACCACCAAGACATACAATAATTAAAATGGCAAAGACCAAAGACAAGAACAGGGTATTAAAGGCAGACAGAGAGAGAAAAAAGATCACCTACAAAGGAAAACCCACCAGCCTATTATCAGACTTCTCAATGAAAACCTTACAGGTCAGAAGAGAATGGCATGATATATTTAATGCAATGAAAACAGAAGGGCCTTGAACCAAGAATGGGTCCAGCAACACTATCATTTAAATTTGAAGGGGGGATTAAATAATTTCCAGATAAGCAAAACTTAAGGGAATTTACCTCCCACAAACTACCACAACAGGGTATGTTAAAGGGACTGCTCTAGATGGAAGCACTCCTAAGGCTAAATAGATGTCACCAGAGAAAATAAAACCACAGCAAAGAAAGCAGGGGAACCAAATACTAACTGAAGGCAAAAAAATAAAATCAGCTATCCACAAAAGCAGTCAAGGGAAACACAAAAGAGTACAGAATAAAACACCTAACATATAAAGAGTGGAGTAGGAAGAAGAAGGGAGAGAAATGAAGAATCATCAGAATGTGTTTATAATAGCTCAATAAGTGAGTTAAGTTAGACAGTAAGAGAGTAAAGAAGCTAACCTTGAACCTTTGGTAACCACGATCCAAAGCATGCAATGACAATAAGTACATATCTATTGATAATCACCCTAAATATAAATGGACTGAATGTACCAATCAAAAGACACAGAGTAATACAATGGATAAAAAAGTAAGACCCATCTACATGCTGCTTACAAAAGACTCATCTCAAACCCAAAGACATACAAAGACTAAAAGTGAAGGGATGGAAAAAGATATTTCATGCAAACAATAGGGAGAAAAAAGCAGGTGTTGCAGTACTTGTATCAGACAAAATAGACTTCAAAACAAAGAGAGTCACAAGAGATAAAGAAGGACATGACATAATGATAAAGGGGTCAGTCCAACAAGAGGATATAACCATTATAAATATCTATGCACCCAACACAGGAGCACCAACATATGTGAAACAAATACTAACAGAATTAAAGGAGGAAATAGAATGCAATGCATTCATTTTAGGAGACTTCAACACACCACTCAATCCAAAGAACTGATCCACCAGACAGAAAATAAGTAAGGACACAGAGGCACTGAATAACACTAGAACACATGGACCTAACAGACATCTACAGATCTCTACACCCAAAAGCAGCAGGATACACATTCTTCTCAAGTGCACATGAACACATTCCAGAGTAGATGACATACTAGGCCACAAAAAGAGACTCAGTAAATTCAAAAAGATTGAAATTCTACCAACCAACTTCTCAGATCACAAAGGTATAAAAATAAAAATAAATTGTACAAAGAAAACAAAAAGGGTCACAAACACATGGAGGCTTAACAACATGCTCCTAAATAATCAGTGTATCAATGAACAAATTAAAATGGAGATAGAACAATATATGAGACAAATAAAAACAGCACAAAGCCCCAACTTCTGTGAGACGACGCGAAGGCAGTCTAAAGAGGAAAGTATATAGCAATCACGACCTATTTAAGGAAGGAAGAACAATCCTAAATGAACAGTTTAAAGTCACAATTATTGAAACTGGAAAAAGAAGAACAAATGAGGCCCAAAGTCAGCAGGAGGGACATAATAAAGATCAGAGAAGAAATAAATAAAATTGAGAAGAATAAAACAATGGGAAAAAAATCAATGAAACCAAGAGCTGCTTCTTTGAGAAAATAAACAAAATACATAAGCCCCTCTCCAGACTTATTAAGAGAAAAAGAAAATCTACACACAAAAACAGAATCAGATATAAGAAAGGAAAAATCACGACGTACCCCACAGAAAAACAAAGAATTATTAGAGAATACTATGAGACTCTATGTGCTAACAAACTGGAAAACCTAGAAGAAATGGACATCTTCCTAGAAAAATACAACCTTCCAAGATTGACCAAGGAAGAAATAGAAAATCTAAATAGACCAATTACCAGCACAAAACTGAATCAGTAAATCAAAAATCTACCCAAGAACAAAACCCCCAGACCAGATGGATTCACCGCTGAATTTTATCAGACATATAGAGAAGACCTAATACCCATCTTCTTCAAAGTCTTCCAGAGAGTAGAGGAGGGAATACTTCCAAACTCATTCTATGAAGCCAGCATCACACTAACACCAAAACCAGGCAAAGACACCACCAAATAAGAAAATTACAGACCAATACCCTGATAAAAATAGATGCAAAAATACTCAACAAAATATTAGCAAACCAAATTCAAAAATACATCAAGAGGATCATACACAGTGACCAAGTGGGACTCATCTCAGGGATGCAAGGATGGTACAACATTCGAAAATCCATCAACATCATCCACCACATCAACAAAAAGGACAAAAACCACATGATCTTCTCCATAGATGCTGAAAAAGCATTCAACAAAATTCACCATCCATTCTTGATAAAAACTCTCAACAAAATGGGTATAGAGGGCAACTACCTCAATATAATAAATGCAATATATGACAAACACACCACCAACATCATACTTAACAGCAAGAAGCGGAAAGCTTTTCACCTAAGATCGGGAACAAGACAGGGATGCCCACTCTTCCCCACTGTTATTCAACATAGTACTGGAGGTCCCAGCCATGGCAATTAGACAAAACAAAGAAATACAAGGAATCCAGATTGGTTAAGAAGAGGTCAAACTGTCACTATTTGCAGATGACATGATACTGTATGTAAAAAACCCTAAAGACTCCACTCCAAAACTACTAGAACTAATATCTGAATTCAGCAAAGTTGCAGGATACAAACTTACTACACAGAAATCTGTTGCATTCCTATACACTAACAATGAACTAGCAAAAAGAGAAATCAGGAAAAAAATTCGATTCACAATTGCATCAAAATAAACTTAACCAAGGAATAAACTTAACCAAGGAAGTGAAAGACCTACACCCTGAAAAGTACAAGACACTCTTAAGAGAAATTAAAGAGGTCACTAACAAATGGAAGCTCATCCCATGCTCTTGCCTAGGAAGAATTAATATTGTCAAAATGGCCATATCCTGCCTAAAGCATTCTACAGATTTAATGCAATCCCTATCAAAATACCAACAGCACTCTTCAACAAACTGGAACAAATAGTACTAAAATTCGTATGGAACCACAAAAGACCCCAAATAGCCAAAGCAATCCTGAGAAGGAAGAATAAAGCAAGGGGATCTCACTTCCCAACTTCAAGCTCTACTACAAAGCCACCATAATCAAGACAATTTCTACTGGCACAAGAACAGACCCACAGACCAGTGGAACAGAATAGAGAGTGCAGATATTAACCCAAACATATATGGTCAATTAATATATGATAAAGGAGCCATGGATATACACTGGGGAAATGAGAGCCTCTTCAACAGCTGGTGTTGGCAAAACTGGACAGCTACATGTAAAACAATGAAACTGGATCATTCATTGTCTAACCCCATACACAAAAGTAAACTTGAAAAAGGATCAAAGACCTGAATGTAAGTCATGAAACCAGAAAACTCTTAGAAAAAAACATAAGCAAAAATCTCTTGGACATAAACATGAGTGACTTTTTCATGAACATATCTCCCCAGGCAAGGGAAACAAAAGCAAGAATGAACTCATGGGACTGCATCAAACTAAAAAGCTTCTGTACAGGAAAGGATACCATCAGTAGGACAATAAAACGTCCTACAGTATAGGAGAATATATTCATAAATGACAGATCTGATAAAGGGTTGACACCCAAAATATATAAAGAGCTCACACAACTCCACAAACAAAAAGCAAATAATCCAAGAAAAATGGGCACATGATCTGAATAGGCACTTCTTCAAAGAAGAAATTCAGATGGCCAACAGACACATAAAAAGATGCTCCACATCATTAATCATCAGAGAAATGCAAATTAAAACCACAATGAGATATCACTTCACACCAGTTAGGATGGCCAACATCCAAAAGACAAACAACAACAAATGTTGGCGACAATGTGGAGAAAGGGGAATCCCCCTACACTCTGGTGGGAATGTAAACTAGTTCAACCATTGTGGAAAGCAGTATGGAGGTTTCTCAAAAAGCTCAAAATAGAAATACCATTTGACCCAGGAATTTCACTCTGATGAATTTACCCTAAGAATGCAGGAGCCCAGTTTGAAAAAGACATATGCACCCCTATGTTTATCGCAGCACTATTTACAATAGCCAAAAAATGGAAGCAACCTAAGTGTCCATCAGTAGATGAATGGATAAAGAAGATGTGGTACATATACACAATGGAATGTTATTCAGCCATAAGAAGAAAACAAATTCTACCATTTGCAACAACATGGACGGAGCTAGAGGGTATTATGCTCAGTGAAATAAGCCAGGTGGAGAAAGACAAGTATCAAATGATTTCACTCATCTGTGCAGTATAACAGGAAAGAAAAAACTGAAGGAACAAAACAGCAGCAGACTCACAGATCCCAAGAATGGACTAACAGTTACCAAAGGGAAAGGGACTGGGGAGGATGGGTGGGAAAGGAGGGATAAGGGGGAAAACAGGGCATTACGATTAGCACACATAATGTAGGAGGGTGGGGACATGGGAAGGCAGTATATACAGAGAAGACAAGTAATGATTCTATAGCATCTTACTAAGCTGACGGATAGTGACTGTAATGGGGTATGTGGGAGGGACTTGATAATAGGGCAAGTCTAGTGACCATAATGTTGTTCAAGTAATTGTACATTAACGATATCAAAATAAATAAATAAGCAACCAAACAAACAAATAAATAAATAAGACGTCTGTGTCTTACACTGTAATTTAAAATAAACTTTAAAAATAAAATATTTAGTAGGTATAGAAGAAGAACCAAGTATCTGTCTCTAGAAACAGGAAGTTCCGGGTTCTTTTACTGCCATGTGCCTATTTCACTGTACACAAGGAGAAGCCAGGTCCCTAGGGCCACACAGGTTTCAGGAATGTGGTCACCCATCACCACAGTGGGAGAGTGAGATTCTTCCTCAAGCTTGGGGATAGGAGTTGCAATTTTGGATTCTGTGGCTGTTTCAATGTGAGAAGTTTCCCTGGGGGCTCATACATCCTTCCCTGTCTTGCAGGGCTTTCTGCCCTCATCCATGCCAAACTGGAGTGGTCTCAAGTTGGGTCGGAAGACCATCACAGCAGGCTGTGAGCTGGCTGGATTCTTGGCCTTTTAGGCTAACCCAGCACAGGTAAAGAGGTCTCCATGGGGCCTAGCCTAGAAAGTTCACTGTTAGCAACTGCCAGTTGGCAATAAAAAAGTGCTTGGCCTCACTGTTCTATGTGCACATACTTCAGGAATGTGCCGGGGATGGATTAATGACAGACCATAAAGAAAGCTTCCAGTGTGTCTAGGTTCCAGACAACCATTACGTTAATGACACCTTCCTCTCATTCTCTAATACTCATGACATAACATGAGATTGCTATGTTTTAGCTTAGGTAACTGTGGTAGCAATGCCATTTAGAGAAAATCACTGGAAGGACATTAAAACCACAGAGCCACTGATTAACTCCTTTTTTCTTATCACATATATTAATTTTTTTAAAAACTTTAACTGTGGTAAAAAACATATAATAGAAATTTTTCCATCTTAACCATTTGAGCATATAGTTCAGTGGTGTTAAGAATAATCGCACTGTTGTGCAACCATCTCCAGAATTACCTTGCAAAACTGAAACTCTTCACATCAAACAGCTCCCCATTTCCCCCTGCTGCTACCCTGGCAACCACCATTCTACTTTCTGTCTCTGAATTTGCTCCAGGTACTTCACGTAAGTGGAAACATATAGTATTTGCCTTTTTGTGCTGGCTTATGTCATTCAGTATAATGTGCTCAAGGTTGATCCATGTGGTAGCACGTGTCAGAATTGCCTTCCATTGGTACTCTGCCCCCCGAAGACTATACCTGACACTGAATGGGTTGCAGACACAGAGGAGTGCTTTTTTTCCAGGCTTCTGTATGTGTGCTTCATCTGTAAAATACCACTAACCAGAAGCTATCTTTCTAAAACTAGGAAAACAAGTTTTCCAAGGTCAGGTTTTAGGAGCTGATTCAGGGAGTATCACTATTCTGTAACACCACCTCAAGGATGTTTCCTGGGCCTAAGAGGTTAAGAATACCTTTGTTGCAGGAGGAACAGATGCAGGAGGAGAGCCAAACAGAGAACTTCCACTATCGGGATCCTCTTTGAAGAGCAGTGATACTCTCTGAGTCCTCTTTTGGCTACACAAACAGATGAAAGACCAAATTAAAGGCAAATGGGATTTTTAAAAAAATACAATATTCTTTCTAGGTCACACCTCTATGAACCCACCTGCCACCAACATGCCCAAGCTATCAGCTGACCTTATACAACTGAAAGCAAGCAAGAAAAACCTTTGAAGTAGGTGCGATTTGTGCCTAGCAAGTCATCAGCCTCTGTCCCCCACCCTTATGTAGAAGAGCTAAGGCCCTCCTCAACCTGGCCCTTGTTAGTTATTTCTGACTCGGTGTGGGTGCACTAGCTGTTCGCTTTCAGAGGCACACGACACTGCTAGCACTCTGTCTCACCACTTCCTAGGGCACAGGAAGAAACAGAGAACATGAGTGCCTATTTCCAAAGTGGTCAGAAGGCAGCTGTCAAAAGATCACAGGGCCAGGGCCTGCTTCGGGCTGTGACCTGATACCTCCTTGGCCACCTAATCCTGTCTTTCTAAGCATCCCCATCCTTTCCCTTCAAACCCCAAATCCATCCCTTTACATCCCCAACAGACAAACCTCTCAGAGCTGGAAAAGCAGAACTCATTTCCCTGTTCATCACATCACTACGCACCCAGCTCCTACCCCATGTTGGGCAACCAGAGCCGAAATGCGGTCACAGGTCTCCTCACCACCTTCCTCTAGCCTGTCTTCACCTACCTCCTTACCTGGGATTCTGGCAGGCCCCTACACACAAGGTGCTCAGTAAATGCCAGAACAACTATTCATCAGTACATCATCAGGAACAGAAATAATATGAAAGTGAAAAAACACAGGGAGGCTTAGCACTGGACTGGTTTTTACTATATGATAAGGAATCATACAACTAACATACTAGGGAATTACCAAAGTAATGAAAACTTCAAAATCAGTTTTTGCTAGGAAAAAAGCATAGTAATAGTAAGTCACTTCAGTGAATTTTTTACCATATCCATCTACTTCTATTAGAACAAAATTATAATTAACAAGGCAAAATCTATGTAACTTCTTTGTTAGCTTAATATTGATGTCTACATCTTAAAAAAACAAAAAAACTAAGGATCAACCAAACAGTTGAGTGCACTTACACTGGACACATACACTAAAGGACAGTTACAAACTACGTCTGCACCTTGAAGAAGTTATTAAAGCAAAGAGCCAATTTGCAACGGCACAGTAAGGTGCTACCTAGTATGCCTTTAAGGACATATACCAATACAGAGTTACACAAATGATAACCAAAATATCCGACTACTAGGTGATGAAGATCACAAAGTATTAATGACTATATCAGATGCCTGAAGAGTGCCGAACACCTCATAAAGCAGCTATAGCAGAAAATCTAACTCATCATCTTCCGAACAAGAATTTCTAAACAAACTAACCAACCAAAACCCCCGAGAACAACCCACAAGACATCTGGTGACTGATTCTGAAGGTAAGCTACTAGAGAA